TACACTTGTCTCTATCATAAATATATGTTTTCAGAGGCAGGAATTTCTATATTATACCTCTTTATAATCATAAGGGAACCAACAGATACGTAGATAGATAGATAGATAGATAGATAGATAGATAGATAGATAGATAGATAGATAGATAGATAGATAGATAGATAGATAGATATTATCAGCATTGGGAGCCCTGCACATTGTCATGTATCTAATATCTTTAATCTGTCAAATAAAAGTTTGATTATTGGATTTCTATTACTAAGAGATTTAGTTTAATTCTAACAATTGCACAATTAAATTGCAAAGCGCACAAAATTTAAGCATTTAGGAAATTAAATATTGAGCTGAAATTAAATTCAATATGTCGTGCCTTAAGACTCTCAGGTACTTTAGTTCTCATAGCAACAGGCACTCAAACCCTCAATGACCATTCGCAGTATCTAAAATTTTAAATTAAACCTACTCGAGTTACATAACATCAAGCGTTCCCACACCACTTGCCGGAAATTCTCGCATATGAGCTCAACATTGGGCTGGGTTGCCATGGCGCCAAGATTTCATTTGCTTCGACAGCTCTGTTTGGTGATTAAAGTCCACTTAAAGCCAGCTTAGTCCGTGTTAACAAACCTGCTTTGCTAAATATCGGTTATTGGTCTCGTCCATTGCTCCAATTAGACGTAATTGCCACTTAGCCGACTATAAATAAGTTTCTAATTTGATTTCACAATAAGCTTGGGCTCGATAAATTTAGAATCGAGCAGGCGGCCTTTGTACGCACGCAACCGAATAATTTTCTCTATATTTAAATGCCTTTGTTTCTGGGATTAATTTATACACATTCATATGTTACATACGTAACATGTACAACTTATACAAATCTACACAAAGTTAGGCAAATGTCCTGAATTAGGTTCGGCAAGGTATGAATGAATGATGAATTTAAAGAAATATTTTGTCCTACCCCCTCTACATCCATATCTGAAAACTCGTCAGCCTGAACTTCCTATTTCTTCTTCCGGGTACTATATCATATGGTGTGCGTATAACAATCTTTGGCATTTCATACAATACGATCTATCACTTAAAAAAAAAAGTTTTCAGATGCCAAAGTAAAGTTTTTTTAATAGCCGAACATGCTTAGTCGGGAGTGTCCGAAAAGGAGATACCTTGAACCCAGTGCCGAGCTGCCGATTACGGCGCAGTTAACGCTTCTTCCTTGATCAACTTCGGACTTTATTGTCCGATCCACACGAAATTTTCAGGCCATGAATATAGCATGCGAATCGATATTAATCGATATTGTTAAAGTGGAAGGCATAAAATATATATGCAAATTTGACAAATTCCTAGAATTCCTAGACTAGATTTTGTAGGTCCTGAGACGGACATGCATTGAGTCAGCTTGTCAAACTGATTAAGAGTATTAAGTACATAACTTAACGGGTTTCCTACTGCACCTTTTTAACCTGTTTTAGATAGGTTCGGGGCATAAAAAAAAACTGAATACTCGTTTCATGGATTTTCATCGCCTCTGAGGCGATTTGAGAAATAATTTTGAATATTGCGAATGAAAAGGAAGTGACAGAGCTTCCGCTTCCGCCTCCGCTGTATGTATGTGTATGTATGTATGTATGTGTACTTAGTTACACACACATACATACAAATGTTTTGTTAACTGAATGTCAAATTCCAGCGCAGTTTATTAGACCTGCTTCGGGGCTTTGGCTGCTGTCAGCTTGCGCTAGGTGCCACATCCATCAAATTTGCCGCTGACTGAGTGACTGACTGTCTGGCTGACTAACGCAGACTGCCTCAACGTCAAAGCACACACACACACAGGGCGAGAGAGTGAGAGAGAGAGCGGGAGATGGACAGGCTGATGGCTTGGCACTGACAAACATTTGCTGGAGTGGCAGCCACATCTGCGCCTGAAGCTGCATTTTTGTGCAAACTCAATTAATTTAAAACGCCGCCAACTACTTAATACTTAATAGCCATGATGAGCCAGCAGTTCCTTCAGTGAATTGCACTCCTGATTTATGGATGGCTGCCATCTGCCATATGCAGTAGAAGTTCCCGCTGGCTCGTACGCAGCTCTAATTTGGCACTTAAATGCAACGACGTGCGTGGGACCCCAACTTACTTATGTGTGTGTGTGTTTTTATAAGTATATGTGTAGGCATATGCACACGTTTCACAGTGGCTCGGAACTGCCATGTTATAGATTCCCATCACGCGCCGCAAAATGCCGTTACGTGTTTGCCGCCTCCATCGAGGAGAACGACGACGACGACGACGATGCCGAAGGTGTCTCCCAGTGGATTATATGGCTCGTGGCTGCGGCCGTGTGGCTGCGTCCAGCCGTGTCCCTGTCGCTCGCATATTCAATATTTGCTGCGCCCAGGCAACTGTAACCACAACCAACAACAACAACAACAGGAATAACGGGAACAACTATAACTGCATTTATATACAGTTTGACGGGCCGCCCGAAAGTATG